CCCCCCCCCCAGGTTTTGGGTGGAATTTCCTCTCATCTGGGCTGAAGATAACCCTCCTGGACCTGCCGTCAACCAGGCCCCAGTGATAGTTGAGCTAACACCCAGGGCTCACCCACAGAGGCAAAGGCAGTATCCCATCCCCGAGAGGCACACTTGGGTACCCAAGACCACCTAGTCAAGCTCAGGGACTCTGGTATCCTGGTCAAATGCCAATGGCCTTGGGACACTCCCCTGCTGCCTGTCAAGAAACCCAGGGGTAGATACTGGCCAGTGCAGGACCTCTGGGCCATCAACAAAGTAACTGTCCCCTTGCATCCAGTGGTTCCAAACCCATACACCCTCCTCAGTCAGGTCCCTGGCACCGCCACATGGTTCACCTGCCTAGACCTAAAGGATGCCTTCTTCTGCCTTCAGCTCGCACCCCAGAGCCAGCCCTTATTTGCCTTTGAATGGACAGATGCAGACACAGGAAGACAGGTGCAACTGACCTGGACCCAGTTACCACAGGGTTTTAAGAACTCACCCACCCTGTTCGAGGAGGCTCCAGCTGCCGACTTAGCCACTTACCCACGAGAGGGTGTCTGTCCAATGTACCCTTATCCAGTATGTGGATGACCTACTCCTTGCCAGCGAAACCAAGGAAAATTGCATGGCAGGAATACGGGCCCTCCTCAAATTACTGTCAGAAGCTGGGTATTGCGTCTCATGGAAGAAGGCCCAGATCGGCCAACGGCAAGTCCGGTACCTCAGGTTCCTCCTTTCACAAGGCCGCTGGGCCCTAGGACCCAAGAAAAAGAAGGTGATCACCTCGCTGCCACACCTCAGATGAAGAGAAGCCTTCAAGAGTTCCTAGGGGCTGCAGGGTTTTGCTGGATGTGGATTCTGGGCTTCTCAGCAATAGTGAGACCCCTTTATGCTGCCTTAGCTGGTCCTGATTGAAGTCCTCTGTTGGACAGAGGAAGCAGAGGAGGCATTCCAGAGCATCGAATCAGCCCTTGGACAAGCCCCTGCATTGGGACTGCCTGATTTTGAGAGACCATTCAACCTGTTCATCCGTGAAAAGGACAAGATAGCTTTGGGGTACTCACACAGCCTGTCAGTCCATGGCAAAGGCCCATTGCATACCTGTCTAAGAAAATGGACTCAGTAGCCACTGGATAGTCCCCCTGTCTCTGTACCCTAGCAGCTACCATCCTCCTCATCAAGGAAGCTGACAAGATCACTCTCGGACAGGAATTGAATACCAAGATACCACACTCAGTTGTATAGCTCATGAACAGCCAAGGGCACCAGTTCCTCTCAAACTCCCACCTAGCTCAATATCAGGGGTTACTCTGCAAGAGCCCCCGCATCACCCTGGAAACTGTATGCAGGTTAAACCCAGCCACCTTCCTCTCCACAAAGGTGAACAGGATCATGACTGTGCAGTGGTAACTGATGAGGTCAGTGCGAGTCGCCCGGACCTGTGGCACCAGGCCATCCAAAACCCGGAGCTAACACTGTTTTGTGATGGCAGCAGCTATCTCCAGGAAGGGGTCCACAAGGCCAGGTATGCAGTAACCATATCTGAAGAGATCTTAGAAGCAAAGGCGTTGCCCGCCAAGTGGTCAGCACAGAGGGATAAACTGCAAGCTCTGATCCAGGCCCTAACCCTTGGTAAGGGCAAGCAGGTTAACATCTACACTGACTCCCGCTACACATTCGCCAATGGTCCACATACACAGGGCCATCTACAGAGAAAGAGGCCTCCTCACAACAGCAGGAAAAACTATTAAGCAGAAATCTTAAAACTACTAGAAGTTGTTTGGCTCCCAAGGGAAGTAGCCATTTTCCACTGCAAAGGACACCAGAAAGGAATTGACCTCTCTGCAAAAGGAAGCCGCTTAGCAGATGAGGCAGCGAAAGCAGCCACCCAGAAGGAATTGTCCCATCCAGATCCAACTCCAGTCCTCGCCCCAGTAAAAGATTCCCACCAGCCTAAGTACACCCCTGAGGAGACTAAATGGGCCAAGGAAGAAGGGGCTACCTTCATGGCACAGGGCTGGTTGCCACTACTGGATAGCCGTATCATAGTCCTGGTAATCTTCGGGCCTCACCTGGTACCTGAGTACCATTAGCTCACCCATCTTGGAAAAACTGCCCTGGAAACCCTTCTGAAAAAACAGTATTACATCAGCCATCTGCGGGCGCTGTGCTAAGCAGTAGGGGAACGGTGCGCTGCCTGTGGAACAACACGCATTCCATGCTTTGGCCCTCTCCTGGAGTCCAGAGAACAGGAAACGCCCCTTTTGAGGACCTAGAGAGAGATTTCACGGAGGTCCTGTCCAGGCGCGGGTACAAGTATCTCCTAGTTTTAGTTTGCACATACTCAGGATGGGCCGAAGCATTTCCCACCAGGACTGAAAGAAGCAGAGAAGTCACAAAAGCCCTCCTATGGAAAGTCATCCCTAGATTCAGCCTACCGCTGAGCATCCACAGTGACAACGGACCAGCCTTCATAAGCTGAAATCATCCAGACCCTGTTGAAGGCCTTTGGCATATCATGGAAACTCCACAAGGCATACCGGCCTCAGAGCTCAGGGAAAGTAGAGCGCATGAACTGTACCCTTAAGGAAACATTAGCCAAATACAGCCAAGAAACCAGTCTCTCCTAGGTAGATCTACTGCCCTTGGCCCTGCTACGTACCCACTGCACCCCTGGAAAGTTAGACTTTTCCCCTTTTGAGATAGTATATGAAAGGCCTCCCCCCAAGTTTAGGAAGCATCCCAGGAGACCTAGTATGAGTCAAGGATCGGAAAAAGGAGACCCTCAGGCCACGTTGGACAGGACCCCACACCGTAGTTTTAACCACCCCCATTGCTCTTAAAGTTACAGGTATCACCCCGTGGGTCCATCATTCCAGAGTCAAGAAAGCCCACATTATTCCTGAGGAGGAGCGCTCAGATGATTGGAGACCCCTCAAGATCCAGCTAAGGTGGACAGCTACCTGATGAGCACAGAACACCTCTGGTTCCTAGTTGCAGCCGTATTCATCACCATGATCCTTGGACTTGGACTTGCTGTGACAGCCCCTCCTGACTGGACTTTAAAATTCAGTCTCCCGCCTAACCACAGCCAAGGTCCTAGCTTTATGAGGGTATTGGCTGCTAGATGACTTTAATGATGCCCTCTGAGGCTTGCTGCCTCCAGGGCATCAAAGTGGGGAATGATAAGGGAAAACTCGGTCTAAAATGGCCAACAGTTTCCCCCAGGACTTCCCCTTCCTGCAGTCTGCCAACTTTCCCAGGCACCAAACTAGATAGGTTAGCCCTGCCTTCCTACCCCAAGGTAGGCGGAAGCATGTACAGTATATAACTTCTCGTCTGACTGTGCTCTGGGCTCAGACTTTGGACTTGGACTCCTCTGGGCCCACCAGCATAAAATAAACCTCCTGAACCCCGAGCGTCCGAGTGCTGCTTGGTCTTTCCATAAAGTAAATGTCTCCGGTTCCTCAACAACCTGACAGGTGGCTTTCTAATATCAGTAATAAATGAACAACTGGGCATGATGGCAGTGATGTGAATACAAAAACTTTAAATGTGTTATTAGTAGGCACACTTATTATTCTCCCTTTGCACATGAGGAAACTAAAGCCCAAGAAGTTAAAGAACTTGTCCAGCCTCACTCATCACACAGACCTGGCCCATTCAACCTTCCTCAAAAGAGTAATATCCACTTGCTCACTTCCAGACTGCCCTCGGCTATAAACTGGATTTCAGGTGTTAAGACGTGTCTAGGAACAAGGCGTTCAAGAAGTTAAACTCCTATTAGAAGGCCAACTGCATCTGTCCCCAGGCTCTGCAGACCAGTGAACAGACTAGCTGTTGTTTAAGTGAAATAGATGCTCTTCCCAGCTCCTGTCCCTGCTTTCCAAGAGGGATGGGGAAAGAAAGGGTGCAGAGGTGAAGTCAGTACACAACCACATGCCATGAGCCCATTGTCTTGCTGAAATGGACTGTTAAGATGGGTAGTAAGGGACAGAAAAATGCTATTCTTATTTTGAGGAAAAATAACCTTTAACCACAGCTTTCTACCCACGTGGCCTTACAATCAGTTCTCTAATGACTGAATTTGGGATGATCTGGGTGGCAGAATTTTATGGTGCCTTCTGGGTTCCTGGTGTCCCCTCATGATTAAAGCCAAGAAGTGGTAAGAGGGATCAGGGAATAGGCTGAGTGCACAGAAATCGGTGGGAGGCTAACAGAAGCACCCTGAGGCCTCCTGTGTGGGGCCATCCTGGCTCTTACCTCTCCAACCATCTTCACATCTTCCCGTCCATACCAATCAGGCTCATAGACTTCATGCAGCGACTCGGTGAGCTTCATCGAGGCTTCTTGCATGCCTAGCGTTGGAGAAAAACAACTCCTGTTAGAAATGCCTGAGGAGTCTCTTCCTTTCCCCTATTTTTCCAAGTGAGAGAAAAATATTCGTTAATCATTTAAGCAAAAATTGTGGAGGCACAGCTGCTAATTGCATCTATAATCACATCCTTGCTTGAGGGCTCTCTAAGACTTATTTGATTACAGTGTGCATTTTCTATCATTTACATGACGATAGATATTGGGTCTTGACAAAATCAACAAGGTGTCCTACTCTGAAAACAACAATAATAATGTGTCCTACTATGCATGCTGTCACTTGCTAAATGGCATGGAACCATAAATGTATAGGACACCTAGAATACTTGTCCATAAAAGTACAGAGTCCCCAAAATAAAATTAATCCTAAATGACTTTAAACACAAGAAATGAAGCATTTTTTAGAAGCAGGTAAAAGCAAAATCAATAGACTTTTAGGACATAACAGTTGAAGGTGGTTTAAGTGGTCTAACAATTTTTGAAGGAAAAAAAATATTTATTTTTCCAATATTATTAAAATCTATATATACAGTTTTAAATCAGAACTCTCAGAAAGCTTAACACTCTTAAGTCTATGGGTCAGAATCTCAGTAGAAATACATTTGGTATGCTATAATAATTTGGTTATTAATAATTGGATAGATATAAAGTTTCCAAGTGCAATATGGTAATATGAAGTACCACCAAGTCTTTTCTACCCCTCCTTCCAAACACGGAGGTGAAGTGTGGATGGCCAAGGAGATAGCTCAGGCTGAGAACAAAACAAGATGGATTCTTTGGCTGGTGACTTGGAGAAGTGCTTCTCTAACACCAGCCAGAAGGTGGAACCTGGTGGAGTTGGTTTCTTGGCTTTTGTGACTACGAAATATGAAAGGGGGCAGGATAAAGGGAGAGGAGAGAATGAGTGCTGTCATTGGAAACAAAAACACAACTTATAACTTAATGCCAGTGAATCAAAGATAGAAAGTTTTTTTAAACTGTAAGCTGCAACAGTCTAGACTCAACTGGGTGCTTGTTGGATTTAAGGGAGTCCATTCTGGCTTCCATTGAAAGAGAAAAAACAAAACAAAAGATGTCTGAAATGACAGAAGTATATCCTTGAAGAGTATGTATAAAAGTCAACATGTAATTTGGTATTTCATAGTACTTTCCCATTCTCTAGGCACAGAATGACCCCACTTTCCTTCCCCTGATAACAAGGAGATACATATTTGGTCTTTGCACATTATTGGCTGGAACATGATTCAGGGCCACATGAAGTGTCAAAGCCTGTAGGCCTCTCCCCATGAAGTGCATCACTGAGCATATTAAAGGAATCCTTTACAACAGGCTGAAACACCTCAACCACAGGATGAAGCCCCAGCAGACTAGGGTGGGGAAAACAGTGATGACTCAAGTCACTGGGAACTCTGATGAAATGAGAGTCCTGTAGGTGTACAAAAGCCAAAAAATCATGCAAAAACCTGCATCTGTCCCCTAACACTTTGAATTCAAGCAAATGAGGATGCTCTCTCTTGTACATGTGGTCATTGTGAGGTGGGTGCAACATGATCTCAAGTGTCCACATTCACCCCTCCCTAAGTACAAGCAAATCTATACTAAAAATGTAACCCTAAAATTCATACCAAATGTTAGTCACTGGATGATCCCCTTCCATATTTAGATGCCAAAAGGCTTCTGAAGTTTTTTCCTTATAAACAACTGTTTAGATAGGTTACTAATTTCTTAATAAGAAGGAAAAGAAATAATGGTATTATTGGACAAATAACCTTTATGGTGAAAATAAAACTGTGAATGTAAGCTTAAAATAAATTTACATAAGCCCTTACTCATTGAGGTTGAAAGCAAAATGTTACAGTAAATATGTCTAGCAGCCAAAAATAACTACTAATTGCTGTGTGGCTAAGTAGTGATGGACAATTTGGAACGAATCCATTTTGACACAGAAATTGTCCCTAGAACACTTCATAGGAAGTACTTGGAAGGATATGCAAGTGAACAAGACACACGCCTTGCTTTTAAGGAGCACAGAGACTGGCAGAGATTTCAGGAACTCAGAATTTACTCTGCTGACAGACACAAGAGGAAAAAAGCTAAAACCCAAGTTTCTTCAATGTAATTTGGCAACATTAAAGCACAACAGATGCTAAATGGCATTTAATAACATTTAATAGCCAACATTTTCTTAAAAGATCAGTGACTTTCATAGAAGAATTACTGTCTTACTACTAGATAGGAACCACTTCCCTCTCTTCAAAATTTTGGACTTTCTCCAAGGCATTTATTGTAACAACCTCTATTTACATTTGCAACCAAATTTGTGAGTCTCTATTTCATGATCTGAGATTTGTTGCATAGACTACACTGCTACACCAGTCCTCTTTGCTTAAGCAGCCTGAGGATATGTTTTAGTTAAAAATAACATCAGTTAAAATGCATTATTACAATAACCAGCAGCAGCTTTAAACCACCAACAGAATATCTAAAATATTGCAAGTTTTACCCATTGTTTAGAAGAGAGTCATTTAAGAAGACAGGGGTTGCCTCAGGTAAAAGGAAGTCTTTAGTCTAGAGTGTCAGAGGGGAGAGTTAGTAGGGGAAAAATAGGCAGATTATGAAACAGCCCTACAGCTGGGGTCATGTTGCCACATAACAAGTCACATATAATTCATTACACCACCTGGGCTATGCTCTACTTAGAGAAAGATCTTGTGTGTTCACTATCCCCGTGTCTGGCCTCCACTACTACTCACATCCCAGTGACTCCTCACTCCAGATCCCTACTGGACATTTCCACTTGGATGTCCTACCAGTACCTCTAACTTCACATATTCAAAACAAACAGAACTTTCCTGTCAAAACCTGCCCTCACTCCTCTTCCCAATCCTCGTATCACCCAGTTGTCTCAGTTAGAAAACTGGAAGTCATCTTTCATGCATCCTATTTTACTGAATTGGTCAGCAAGACAAGCCAATTCTGTCTGATATTCAAATGAAGTCCCTTCCTTCCAGGCCCACTGCCACAGCACTCAAAAAGAACCCATCATCTATTATTTAGATTAGACCAAATAACTCACGTAAATGGTTGAGCAAGCACTTACACACAGCGAATAGTCAAATGTCAGCCTTCATAAAAACTACTTTTGGAGGCAGTGTGGCACAGTAATTAAGATCCTTATTTGCAATCAACCGGCCTGTGTTAAAATCTTGGTTCCATCATATACTATCTGTGCAATCTTAGGCAAATTACCCAGCTACTCTAAATCTCATTTTTCCAAAGCATACATTACTAATAAATAATAGTGCATGCCATAGGTTGCAGTGAGAATCACATGGAATTAAACAGTTAAAACTTGTGTCAGTGCCTGGCACGTAAGAGTTCAATAAATGCTTACCATTATTATTATTGTGCTAGACTTCTAAGTCTCCTTGGAGTTTCATTTCCTCTAGCCTGAATTCCACACAACCACAAAAATCACTTTTCTAAAATGCTAATCTGATCATGTGACTCATATTCTTGCCTATAATAATGTAATGATACTCTTCCCTGCTGATGGAATAAACTCCCAATATGATGAAACACATAAGCACCTCTTTGTACAAACGTTGCCTGCCTTTCCATTGAGCTCAATATCCTGCATGCCCTTCTACCTGAAAAGTCCTTCCAGCATCAACCTCCTTCTTTGGTATATCTTATAACCTGATGACCAGGCCCATTCAAGTGTAAGTTCCTAGGAAAGACCATTCCTGACCTGGTATCCTGTCCCTTAAGTAGAGTGAGGGTCTGTCTTCTGTTATGATGGCACATGTGTGGACAGAGCTGACTCCATCTTGAAAAACTGAGTCCGTCATAAAGCTTATACCAGATTAACTTTTGAGTGAATGAGTCCAGACCTTTGAGCCCTCAATGGACTCTGGAATGTGTATAGAGGTTTCAGGATAGTCACAGAGCTTCAGTTACTCCTTCCTGTGGGGCAAGGAGCCCTAGATATTATCTACCTCATTAGCTCACCCTGGCCCTGGGCCTGCCAATGTCTGGTCTCCCCCTGACCACCCACACACTTCTTTCCTTGTACCTAGGCCCATCTCTAAGGCAGGATAAAAGAGGGTGGTCTAGAAGGTGAAAGATTCAGAGATCAGAATGTCCTGCTGCCGCCCAGGACCCATTTCTGTACATAAGTTCCCTATTAAACTCTGTAAGTCAAAAAGCTGGATTTGTCTGCCTGGTTCTTGGGTCTCTTGGCTCCTTCGGCATCTGGGTGCCACTTGGCACACACAGCCTTTTCACAGAACAGCACACAATGCATATTTCTGTTAAAATGCATATTACAATGCACATCAGGCTTTTTTGTTTATTCAACTTTCTCCCCATCTCTACTGCAAGCTCCATGACAGCAGGCACTGTGTCTTGTTCATCTCTCATCTCCATCCCCTAGAAGAGTGTCAGGCCCATAAATGAGGCTGAATGCAATGTTTGCTGCTAAAATGAATGAGAGCATAAGATCTACCTTACAAAGCTCAAGAATCAGCAGAAATAATAAAAACCTACGAGGTGAATGCCACCCAGAGATTAGTGATGATAAGATGAGTAGAGTTTAACACAATTTCACAGAATCCCGGTGGTGGTGGTAGAGATTTGGAGGTTTCTAAGAATAACTGGAGCACTTTATAGATAAGGAAACCAAGGCAACTGAGAGGCTCAGTGATTTCCCACGATTGTTCCTGGAACTAGACCCAGAGCCCATCACCCTACAGAACTACATCTTATTCCTCCATAACCTTGCCTGCAGTATAGTACAATTAGTTGGCTAGAGTTCTTTTTTGTGAAAACAGAAAAATTTGCCATGAAGGCACTTTGAAAATAAAAATTATTGATCGACTTAATGTATAACCCTTGTCTTTAAGTGTGTTCCCAAAACCCAAAATGTGCTCCAAGGAACTCTAACTCTGTAAGACTTTGAAAAGAGAAAAGCATTCTGCAGTTA